CGGCTGGCCCAGCAGAGGGTGCTGCAGAAGAGATGATGGAGCATCCCGCAAGGTACAGCCAACGCTGCCTGCACGCAGAGGCCCTGGCGGCGGCGAGATGCAAAATCCTGCTCGCCCAGCGCAGACAAATAAATCCCCAGGCGGGCAGGCAGGGGAGGGGGAATGGAAGCCCCCTGTGCTTTCAATGGATTCCTGCTTCAGGGGGTGGGTCTCTCTGGGAAACAGTCGGGGGCTCTGCATGTAGGTTGAGAGAGCTGTGTGGGTCCCGAGATATTAGAGAGGCCAGATGGGCGAGGTAGTATCTTGTATTGGACCAACAGAAGTTGGTCCAATAAAAGGTATTGATTCACCTACGTTGTGAAATAGGGGGTTGATGTAATTATGAGCCAAAGGGGCATGTTACTGAAATAGGATAACCATCTTTACACAACTAATATGAGTGGATGATGGATTTTTTTACTGCTTGTGATAAAGTTATAATCCATTGCACCAGGCTGGACCTGCTGATCTAGTTTTCCTGCTGCAGTATGAATTTGAAGTGACCTTTTTCATGGTGACTAGTTTTGTTAAATCAACAAGTATGGAGGTATAAAATGTAATGTCAAGGTCACTTTAAGGCACACAGCTTTATGGATGAATTAATTTGCTACTGAAACCTGAAAGACTTGACTTAGTCTGAAAAGAACAGTGCAGAGTTTCTTTATAAATAAATGTATACATATGGAAAATATATTGTGATGCTTAAAAATTTTTTACAAAGTAAGATGAATAGTACTTGTGTGGGAGGAAAAATATTTTAGAGAATACGCTTTTTTCATAGTGTCTGTGGGTGCTGTTGAGAAGACTGATATCTTATGCTAGATTTGTAGAACTGCTTGCTGTATGTTCTATGGGTTTTGAAACTAGCATAGTATTTTGCAATGCTAATATGTAAAACTACACAATCAAGAAAATTGAAACATTTATGACAACCCATATTTCCTAGACCCAAGTGACTAATGTGTAGCAATTAAGATTACGTAACAAAACACACATTTGAAAATTAAGTGGGGGATATGTTGTGGCCCTTCTGCACTGAGTCACTTTAGTTCGGTGGTTACTTTAACTAGCTCAGTCAGGGATCCATGTGCTCATGGATCAGTTCTCCACAAGGCACTGTAGTAAAAGTAGTTAGATCACTTGTTATAATAGGATTTCAAATTTGCTGTCCAAGCCCTTTGGTTAAAAAGCTTCCTATAAATCATGCAGTGTTGTATAGGGTGTAGGATATGTGCCTTAAAGTGGGACTTTAATTCTCTTTAGATTTTTGAGGTGAAAATAAAACTGTAAACCCTGGCGTTTACGGAAGGAGAAGATGAAGGACATCGACCTAGGAAAAGAGTACGTTATACCCAGTCCTGGGTATAGAAATGTAAGGGAGAGAGCCGGCTCGGAGCGATGCCAAGAGCAGGAAGGGCTGAAATTCCAGCAAGCTAAATATAAGGTCAGTTTCTCTTTCCACTCTCCATGTGTGTGCAACTGCTTAATAAACTACATATTGCAACCCTTCTCTTGGCATGACAACTTTATTCAGGTTTGTTACCTTGAAGGTCAATGATGGACATCCTGCCTCTTTCATCAGAGGTCATTTGAAGGAAGGCTGTAGATATATTAACCTCTGGTGCAAAATTGCATCAGTGAGGGAGACTAGTGCTTAGGAGATGCATCTTAATAATGTTTGTTTGTTAATATACTCAGATGGAATTATGCTAAATATTCTGACGTGGACAGTTTCTTATGCACGTTTATGGGGCTATCTGTGTAATTGTGGTGATAGTAATCAAGAGGGATCGGTACTTACAGATCCAATTTAACGATTGGGATGATGTGAATACAGAAATGGTAAGAAAATAGAGCTCTTTGCTGATCATGCCCCATTCAAAGCTGGCAGCTTAAAGACATTCTTAATGATACACTATGTGTCTTCAGGATTATTTTCCTGAAGCAGATGTTTAACTTGCCACAGTAGTAGTAGGAATTCTTTGTATTTAAAAGAATAAACTAATATTTTTATACAAGTCCATATGCCACTACATCTCTAGTTCTTTTACTACTCACTGCTGATTGTTTCCTGTACTATACACAGAAATAGTTAACTGCTCCTGCCAGTTAAGAATCAATCTCTGGTATTGGCGTGGCCATTCAGCTGCTGGGTTAGTCTTCTCCAATGTTATTTGGACTAGTGTGTTTGTGATGGGTTAATAAGAATTACATTCTGGGAGTTATGCAGATGTAAAACTACCTGATAACCTTAACAGGAGGAACTGATGCATCTTGAAGTGTTTGTGTGCAGAAAAAACCACATACTCAATAAATCTTGGCAATCCTGATTGACTTGTGAAAGTGTAGCTCAAAAGCAGTTATTTATGCCATTTCAAGTTAGATTAGGGATGTTGACTAGGATTATTGATGCTCTTTGAAATCTGTTGGCGCACATCTTTTTAATATTATCTAAATGCTAAGGAAGTAAATACTGGTTTAAACAACAAATTAAGAGATTAATACTGCAAACATCTATGTGCATGCAATATGAAATTCTAATGGACATGCTAACTTTTGTCAGGGTTCATAGTAAACAAATAAGACAGTTTAGCTGTCTGAATTCCCAGTAGGAAAAATAGGTTCCAGTTGTGCTTTTTTTTGAGAAGTCTATAAATGGTTCCTTTTTAAAGCAAGTATTGAGTATGTGGTTGTAAAGACTTGTGTTTTTTACATGCAAAAGCCAATAAAGAAAGATAGGTAAGTGTGAAGACAGTTGTGTTTTGGCAGCTGGCTAAAGCATTGCATTACTAGGGGATGGAATGTGTTAGAATGGTCTGTTCTGCGCTGGGGCAGATTGCTGAGTACGGTGTGTACCGGCAGTCACTGCAGTTCCCTTAGTGCCTGCATCGTCTCTGTGACTCAGCATAATATCGATAACAGACATTGTTCATGGCAAGTCAGAACATCTGACTGCTGCTTCAGTGCAGGCAATGATACTGAAGCAGGATGCTGCTTCTAAGCAGCATTGATCATGTTATGATTGGCTTACAACCCAATATACATTATCCAGTAGCAACTCTTCATTGTGGAATTGGTGGTGACAACAGTGTTACCATTGGTGGGGAGCTTTGTTTCTTTCCTAGCCAATGGATTTTTTTCAGTCCAGCTGTAGCCATATCAGGATGCTGTTTCTGATTGGCCTGCATCCTAAGAACATGATTATACAGCTTCTGCTCTGCAGTGATCCTATTTAAGCTGCTGTTTACCTCCTACAAGGCTGCAGCTAGCCCAGTATGCCTTGTACTGATTGGAGTGTTATGCTTGAAGTTATTTTCTTGAAACAGTTAAGAAGAAATAAGCTTCATGGTCATTTGCTTTGAGATTCACATTGAACTATGTTCAGGAGAGTTTTTGGAGATGCATCTTCACCTGATCCAACTGAGGAGATCCCTGCTGTGGATGGTCAGGAAACGCCATGCACCCTCTGAGTGGAACTTGAGGATGCCTCTTGAATGGAAAACACTCTTTGTCCAAGTGTGGAATTTTGAATGGAAGGCAGAGAACCAAGATAGGACAAGAATAGTCCAGGGTTACAGACTGGACGGAGTGGCAGGGCTGGGTTTATGGATCTTTTTATATTTAAAATGGTGAATGGTTAACAGGAGGACTAATCAGGAAGCTATGACTTAAAAAAAATCAGGAAACAGGTAAGTCTCAAAGAGGGTGGAGGGGGAAGTAAGATTTAGAAAGGGCTGGAGTAGAACAATAGTAAAATGAAACAAAATAGGACTATGTAGCACTTTAAAGACTAACAAGATGGCTTATTAGGCGATGAGCTTTTGTGGGCCAGACCCACTCCCTGAGATCAAATAGTGGAAGAAAATTGTCAACCATATATACCAAAGGATACAATCAAAAAAAGAACACATGAAAAGGACAAATCAAATTTCAGAACAGAAGGGAGATGGGGCGGAGGGGAGGTAAATGTCTGTGAGCTAATGATATTAGAGGTGATAATTCTCTGGGGTCCTAACAGAGAATTCAAACCATCAGGGCCTGTTAGTTTTGGTCTGTCTTCTGCTTCCAGGCAGGGCTGCAGCTGCACCAGACTAGGCTTGCCTCGGAGTGTGACTTTCAAGTTCAGACTTCCGTGTGTGCTAAAAATTTCTTTTAAGAAGCAGTTGACATACACATCCTACTTAATACATTGAGATCAGCAAAATGGTCACTTGCCTCCTTTCCTGGGTGCAAAAGGATTACATATGGGCCATTGCACAGCCAAGACCCCAGACGCTTCTGGTGGCTGTCATGTCAATCAGTTCACTTTCCAATCCTGACTGAGAAGACTTTTTGTCATGTTGTCTTAGGGAGTCCCCACTCACATGCTATTGGTTCCATCTGCTCCACCAGTTTTCAGTCAAAAGAAGGCTGAAAGGGCTATTCCTAAATCTGTAGGGATGGCAGGTATTTGCCAAGGGTATCCTGCCTACAGCACTACCAGGTCCTGGTTGCATGGACAAAAAGAGATTGCCTTTGAAGAACAACATTGTATTTATCTCAAAGTTTCCTGACATCTGAACTCCCAGTGCCTTGTTGTACAAGTAAGACTAATTCCCTAGATTTCCTGCTGTGTGATGGAGGCATTGGCATAGAAATGTGAATGTGGACCTGCAAAAAGTTTTGGAAACCTAAAATGAAAACTCCAATGAAAATTTTACAGAACCAAGATGGAGAAGTCTGTAATAACAAATTACAGGCAGTCCCCGGGTTACATGGATCCGATTTACATCGGATCCCTACTTACAAACGGGGGGAGGCAACCCCTCACTAGCTGCTTCCCCCCAGCAGACCAGGGACAGCAGACCAGGGAGACGTGGAGCGGCTTTTCTCAGCAGACACCTCAGCTTGAGAATAAAGGACTGAGGGAAGTGAGGTGTGGGAGAATAAAACTGAGCTCTGGAGAAATGTTTGGCTAGAGTTCCCCTACAATATGTACCAGTTCCGACTTACATACAAATTCAACTTAAGAACAAACCTACAGTCCCTATCTTGTATGTAACCCGGGGACTGCCTGTATACATGTGTTCTTGTCACTCTGGATTTTTAAAAGCCATGTTGTGGAAGAGGCCTTAATGTTGTATTTTGTAAGATGCATTAAACACTTTGCTGCTGTACAAGTAGATGTGCTAATTAGAACTATTGTGTTTCACAGTGTAACTTCCAGGTGAAGGTGACTGGTACTCTCTGGCTCTAACAAATATTAAGATAGTTTCAGCGTTCCACAAACAATCATTTTACTAATGCAAAAAAGCCAACGTATTTTACCAGATTATATGAAAATATATATTGGAGGTTTCAAAACATCCTTTTAAAAGTCTAATGTAGGGGTCTGCAACCTTTCTGAAGTGGTGTGCCAAGATTTAACCCTTCTACTCTGGGCTGTGCTGCTCTCCTAGGATGGGGAAGGGGCTCATGCACTCTGTGGACCACCTGGTGCTCAGCAAGCCTTTCCACAGACCACCAGTTACTAATGGAAACTCACCATTATTTACATAATTACACCTTAGACATTTTGCTAGTGCTGCAGCTAGGGAGCCTGGTTTGATTTAAATCAATAAACAGACTTAAGCGTTTTAACTTTCTCATGTTAGTTTATCAAACTTAATTTTAAATAAAGTAAAATATTAACATGTCCAACACAAGGTTTCAATGTTTTCTTTATTTATGGCAGGGGTGGGGAAACTTTTGGGTAAGGGCCACTGACCCATAGAAAAATGAAGAAAGCCCCAACTCTGCCAGACCTGGCTTGCTGCCACTTCCCCAGTGGGGTAGAGAGGCGCAGGGGGAGAGAGCGGCAGCGCACAGAGTGCACCTGCCAAGCCAGAGTGTGCTTTGCACTGCAGCGCCCCAGCTGGGCCTGAAGCAGCTGCCCCAAGGCACTGAGGTCTGGGAGCGGCTCTGCCCGGTTTTGCAGCTGTCAGATCTGCTCGGTGGCCACTGTAAGATAGGACTGCTAGGTTTCTGGTATTAACCCGAACAGTCTAGCATTTTTCACCTCCTGCCTGGTTTAAAAAAATCAGAAAATACTGGACACCTAAAATGTCAGGTATTTTCTGATTTTTTTTCTTTTTTTGCCTACCAGGAGGCAAAAAGGCCGGACACCTGGCAACCCTATGACACACTCGGCAACTGGGCCCGGCTCCCGACACCTCCTGCCCCTGGACCTCCTGCTTACCTGGTTCCCACAGGGAAGCTGCATTCCGGCTTGATCAAGAAACCAAAATGGCCACCGGCAAAAAGCCTAAAGACCAAGGGGAAGCAATGCTTTCCCTGAGTCTTAGTACTCAAACTCTCCCCTGTTCCTATCCATATTCTGACTCTGCATGCACTGACAGGGCCATACTGTTTTTATTTATTTATTTTGCTTAACTCTCGGAGTCTTTTTTTTCCCCTCAACTTTGG